CACACACACACACACACACACACACACACACACACACACACACAATCAATCGATCAATCAATCAATCAATCAATCAGACCAATCTAGATCCTAGGATCTTGATTGGTCTGATTAGTCTGATTGATTGATTGATTTGATCTCTCTCTCTCTCTCTCTCTCTCTCTCTCTGTGTGAACGCAAACGACCACAAAAACATGGTGGGCCAGTGTTTTGCCACTGGCCCAACAAACAAAAAATATGGAAAAAAAAAAATTCATCAACGGTTTTATTTTAAACCACCAGTACCTTTGTCGGTTCGAAAATACTCGGCCTCCGACCTTTCAGGAGGCCGAAACGAAACGATGGCCGCCGATCTGATTGATCAACGCCGGGCTCAGCCTCCTGAAACTTCGGGTACTGGCCAGGACTTGTCGAAACCGGACGCCAAAGGTACTAGTGGTTTTTTTTTTTTTAATTTCCATTTTCGTTTTTTATTTTATTTGCTTCTAGTAGATGTCACAAAAAATTATTAAAAATCATAGGCGTGTAGAGCTTTTTTTTATCTACACACCCATATATATATATATTTTTTTTGCCTAGGCCGCGCGCGGGATCTCGACCGCGGCCGATAAAATGGCCCGTGGTCACGACCGCGGGTGATACATAGGCAGAGAGGGAGAAGAGGACAACAAACAAGGGGCTGTGACAAACTGTTTCGTCGGAGTTTCAATGACTCATCAGGAGGCTGAACACTCAACAGTCTGCAGAATCCCGTAACTGATTATACTGTAAGTGATAATCCACCTTAACTCCGGTTGTGGTTAAGCATTAACGACTGCCCAACAATATATATGTATATATATATATATATATATCGTCACAAACAGAACTGCCCGGTAAACCGTAGGCAGAGAGAGAGAAGAGGACAACAAACGAGGGGCTATATATATATATATAGTTGGCTCAACAACAGGCGGCCGAAGGCCGAGTGTAATATCAATCAACACTGATCATTTACAGTTACAATGGTTAGCAAGGTTGATTCTGTGATGCAGAATCCGAAGAGTGGAAATGAAGGTCAGCGACCTTTCAATGATATTAAAGAGATCTTGTGGCACCCACCACTATGTGGATAACAGGCTGATGAGCCGTGTGATGACTCCCAAGAGCTCATATCGACGGAGTCGTTTGGCACCTCATCATCTTGGGGTACTTACACATGCCCCTCTGTGTAGTCCGAAGGCCACAGCTCTTGCCCGGGTTCACTACAATAATACGACACTACATACAAATAAAGCCACGGCTCTTGCCCGGGTTCACTACAATAATACGACACTACATACAAATAAAGGAATCCCGAAGCGGAGATTGATTTTCCCGCAGTTCTTTTCATGTTTGCCTTTGGGTTCTTTTTAGGCACGAAGTGCAACCATCTAAAACCCTAAAGGAGCAGTACGACAAGCACGAAGTGGTAGACGCGACCTCTCAACGTCTTAGCTAGCGAGATTACGAGGCTCATATTTGAACCTCAGGATGCTTTTCGGACTTTATCTTCATCTCTTGTGATTGAGAAATGAGAGATGGACTTTCTTCTTCCTGCCCGCCATTGAAACTAAGTGATAAGGTCCAAATCGGCAGATACTGTCCGTACCACCCATGCTATGGATATAGGAGCATTAACCCCTTTTCTTTGGCCTTTTGCAGAACAAGAAAAATTGTCATTATCTGTTGTGTTCGTCAATATATAGGTCATTTTACTCCAAGACACCATTTCGGGTTCGAAGCTGCCTCTTGGTATTGGCATTTTGTTGATGTGGCTTGGTTATTTCTATTTGTATCTATTTATTGGTGCGGGGGTAATTAGCCCAGGCCATAAGGCCCATGCGGACTTGATGTCATCCTCGTTTGTTGTCTTTTCTTCCTCTCTGCCTGCGGTTTACCGGGCAGCTCTGTTTGACGATATATATATCGTCACAGAACTATTCACTAAGAGCGTAAGTGTGAAATAGAAGAAATAAGATGAGCGAAGAAAAGAAAAATGAAAGGGCAAGCAAAGAGATGGACAAACCAGAATGACACAAAACAGTGTCCTCTTATTCTTTGTTTCACAGTATTATTATTTCTTTCAGTGTTAAAAAAAACAAAAACACTTAATCAAAGGATAAAAATAAAAAACAAAGACACATTGAGATCATTCAGTTTCTCCGTCTTCTTAACGCCTCCTCCACTGTGCCTCTAACGTACAAGGCTCGCCACGTTGATGAAGTTAAGTGCTAGCTGCCCCCATCCCCGTACGCCATAACAGCCCACTTGCACGCTATGGGAAAGAGGCAGAGTGAAGGAAGAGGTGTTAAACACAAGGAAGAGAGGAGCAGAAAAGGGAAACCAATAGGCAGAGGGAGAAAAAAGAAAAAATGTTGACACAAACATCTTCTTTCTTTTACTGCATTCTTCTTTCTTTCACAGTTTTGCAAGTTTTGTGAAGAGTCTACCACATTCGCTTTTCAGCGCACCTGCACTTCATTCTTCATTTTTCATCCTCATTTTCACCCTTCAGACTTTTCTTTCGAGGGTGTTAGGGTGCAGGGTACAAACAAAGCAAAATGACACAAACTTATGTTCTTCTTTTACTGCATTCTTCACAGTTTTGCAGTTTTAGTGAAGGGTTCCCCACCTTTGCACATTCTTGTACACTCTTTTCAACGCGCCTGCACATTTTTGTCAGGGTGCAAGGTACGTCTAAGTAAGACCCTCACGACATATATATTGTCACAGAACTATTGACTAAGAGCGTAAGCACGTGAAGTAGAAGAAGAAATAAGATGAGCGAAGAAAAAAAAAATGAAAGCACAGACAGGCAAAGAGACAGACAAACCAGAATGACACAAAACAATGTCCTCTTATTCTTTGTTTCATAGTATTATTATTTCTTTCAGTGTTTTACAAAAAAAAATTACACAGAATCAAAGCATAAAAATAAAAAACAAAGACACATTGAAATCATTCAGTTTCTCACTCTTCTTAAWGCCTCCTCCACTATGCCTCTAACGTACAAGGCTCGCCACGTTGATGAAGTTGAGCGCGAGCTGCCCCCATCCCCRTATGCCATAACAGCCCACTTGCACGCTATGGGAAAGAGGCAGAGTGAAGGAAGARGTGTTAAACACAAGAAAGAGAGGAGCAGAAAAGCAAAACCGATAGGCAGAGGGAGAAAAAACAAAAAAAGTGACCCAAACATCTTCTTTCTTTCACTTCATTCTTCTTTCTTTCACAGTTTTGCAGTTTTGGTGAAGAGTCTACCAGTTCGCTTTTCAACGCACCTGCACTTCCTTCTTCATTTTTCATCTTCATTTTCACCCTTCGGACTTTTCTTTTGAGGGTGTTAGGGTGCAGGGTACAAACAAAGTAAGATGACACAAACTTATGTTCTTCTTTTACTGCATTCTTCACAGTTTTGCAGTTTTAGTGAAGGGTTATCCACCTTTGCACATTCTTGTACACTCTTTTCAGCGCACCTGCACATTTTTGTCAGGGTGCAAGGTACGTCTAAGTAAGACCCATACGACAGATAGGACAACTGTCATAAGGATGCGGGCGATGGTAGCAGCTCCAACTTGTTGGGTTTGGTGGTTTGTAGCCTCTCTCGTCGAGGCTGTACCATAAGTAGGACAGATCGTAATTTTGTTTGGCTGAGGGCTAACCAA